GTCTCAAAATCTTATTGGTTAGAAATTTATAGAGGAGGATCAAAGAATTGCCACATCATGATAATTACGTGTCATGAGGGATCGTCATCAAATGTCATCAATCTTTAAGATCACGTGACCCTAATCTCTCCGACAAGATTTTTACTCGCTCCACCCAACTTCCCTCTACCAAAACGATGGCGTTTTTGTTGCCCAAATACGTACAGAAAACGCGCACGTTTGACCAACTAGCTGTACTATAGTACTATACACTATCTTTTATTATTCCTCACCGGTTCCTGATTTCCCACTCGAACCGGCCAATTATGAGACCACTCCCCACGCAAGATCTGGTTTAAATCCCCGGTTCAAACCGGAGTCTTAGATTTAATCAAGAAGATTCTGATAGAAGTTTGGCAGAGAATTATTTTACCAAAAACCACATCGACACAGAAAGTGAGAAAAAGAAGAAACAAAAAAAAAGTTAAATAGGCTTTTGACTTTTTTTTTGGCTATTTTACTTTTTTTTTGGAGATTGATGGATTCGTTTAACCTAAAGCAAATATTTAAAAAGATGACTCCTGCGTGGCGGCGAAACACGGCGAAGGAAATTTTGCGGCGGCGATTGTGTTAATTTTCCGGCGAATTCTGTAGTTTTTGAAGAAAGCAGAGATCGGTGGAGAAAATAGAAGAAGTTGCGTGAGAATCGGACGTCGGTTTTTCCATCATTCAAAAACTTGAGAATCTTCAACGGAGAAGATTAGGTTAACGGAATTTTTTGGGAAATCCGAGACAACGAGAAGGATCTTCTCGATTACGAATACCCGACGGACGAAGAAATCCAGATCGGAACCGAAACTCCAGCGAGATGACGGATTTGCATCTCTTCGAAGATGCCGGATTCGTAATCGAAAGGAGAGGAGATAGAGAGAAAGCTAAAATCGTTGTTGAATCACACAATAAGGTTAGGGAGAGAGAATTTACCTTAGATCCAGATCCTGTAGATGTGGAGCAGCTAGCTTGACGACTGGTATCTTCGAATCCATCGGCGGTTGCAGCGGAGGAAGGAGATGCAGAACAACCACCGCCGCTTCCAGATCCGCCGCTCCAAGAGAGTGGAGTCTTAGGACTAGCTCTAACGGAATCCACATCCTTCTTCAACGTAACGAGAACTCCGCCGCCGCCGCCACCGAATCTTGACGACCGAGACCGCCGTTGACGGATTCCCCACCGTAACGGAGGTAGATTCGCCGTCGGATTATCCGCCACTACCGTACCCGCATGCTTCAGTCTAAGAAGAAGCTCGACAACCATCTCGTCGTCGGTCATCGCCGCTTCTACCCAGTCATCCTTCACCGTCATCTTTGCCGATGCAGATGTTACCTTTTTCATCGAAGGTACTACACTAATCGAATCTCAAAGCTCGCCCGAAGAAAAAGGAATCTGATACAGAACAGAAGC